ATTTTGTCTCTTCGGCTGCACGGAGGTGAATAGAAATTGGTAATCACTTCCGAAATAGCCAATCAGCGCGCATGAGAAGCGCTAATCGCCTGAGGTAGTTACTAATTGGGGTTGGATAGCAAGTTATCGATTTATCATCATTATAGACCCCTTGAATATGAATGGAGGGGCATAGCGATTTTTACAGATGGGGAAATGGTGATCATAACTTCCTATTGTCGTTCGCTTTTTTCCCCCTTTTGCATTGATAAGAAATTGGTCCATACGTTATATACAGTAGTTCTCAATTTAGGCTCGGGAGAGCAATTTCCATAGGCTGGAATCAAAAGCATTGACACCTAAAGGGCATGAACTTTAAATGATATGACAAAACGACTTCATAGTCGAGTTTTCCTCAGTAACATAATCAGTAATTTGTTTTTTTCTCAATTCGTAGGAAAAATTTTTATAGCAATGCTTTTTTTTTTTTTGCATTAATGCTTTAACAACCTCTATGGTACACCTTTTGAAACCAGTTGTGGTTTTAATGTACATGGATACGCATAGAGCAGAAATTATCCGGTTTGGTAAATTCATTATTAGTTTAGAAATGGTGGTCGTCGAAGTCATTACTCACTATCAACAAGAATAACAGATTGTCCTTTTGCCTTTTATAAGCGTTCGTCAATGACTGACCGATTTTGTTGGTAAGAAACTGTAAACTTATGCTGCAGGTTATTGGTGACACCAGTAGTGGTTCAACTACTAGACAACTTACCATGAGCCAGAAAAACTTTACCGTGCTTGAAGACATCCAAAGTGTCATAGGTATTCCACTGAAATTTCTACACATTGTTACAAACCCATATGACGTTATTGCTTCGAATGTCATCAGAGAGTCCAGATCTACCGTAAATGTGAGTAAAATGGCTACGACAGGCCATTTTTTTGAGTCAGTGATCAACTTATCTTCTGTCAATAAAGGCAGAAATGAGTAATACCGACGTAGAAGACCTATGAGGTCGTTTCCATTTTTACGCAATCACTGATTGGGAACTAATGGAACAGACTGATCATTTTTTTGCTCAAACAGAGTAGAGGAAGGACGTACAATAGAATAGAGAAAAGTTTAACGACATATAATCGTGATTTTCTCAAGAAAATGGAAAGTTCCACTCCCACGATAGAAAACGGGTTTTCCGTACAAACAGGCAGCATCTTTATTGTCTTTTATTGCGCTGAAGTGTAGCACTTTGATCCAATTTTCCACCTTCATTTCATTTTCAGATAAATGACGCGAAGGATGTTTTCGCCCTTGTGGAAACAAATGCAGAATTAAAGAAACTATATGGTGATGCGGTATTAGACATTTCTATGGATCAATTCATCAATAATCCAAGGGAGACCATGATACAAATCTGTAGATTTCTACAGGTCACTTTTTATAATAGCTATCTCGATAAAGTTAAAGGAGAATTGAACAAGGAGTCAACGGGAGCTCGTTATCAGGTGATATGGACAGACGAAGAGAAGGAGTGGGTCGCTGCAGAAATGAAAAAGTACTCTTTCCTGAATTCGTTTGACTTTTAATACTTCCGTGAAAAATTATTTCATTGAAAGGTGGTTCGAGGCCTCAAACGAGTACCTTAGCCATTGTTAAGTAGTTTTTCTGGTAAAAAATGAAAATTGAGGAAAGCTGAGGAGATTCCGAGTGTTCAAGAAACTCGTAACAGGGAGACGTTTTATTGAGCGGCAAGGACATACAGGTCACGTCGCTTTGTTTCAAAGGAGAACAGAAATGCGAAAAAATCGCGTTTTTCAAGGAATAATTAGGAGTTTCTTGTTCTGACCCGAAAAAAGAAAGGAAAAGTTATAATTCCAGATTTTTTTGTGCTCGTATGGCTGCGTGCGCCTATCTATTGTTTCCTATTCAGGTTGAAATTTTCGACACTTAATGGTCATGTGATAAAATTCTTATTGACTGAGCTTATTGACTGACACCAATCTTACGATATCTGCTAAGACGTTAACATAGCTTGAGCTAGTTCTAACCCCTGAGTTAAATAACCTTAGTTGTTGGCTGAAAGCTAACAAGCTAAGTCTAAATGTTGCTAAAACAGAGTTAATAATTATTGGATCAAGACAAAGACTATCTGCCCAATGTGACGACTTAGAAATTAGAATTGATGACCAAATTATCAAGAGAGTCGGCAAGACCAAATCTCTGGGTGTTATCACAGCTGCTCAACTCACTTTGGGTAACCACGTTGAAGAGATTTACAAGAAAGTCTCTTCAGGAATAGGCGCCCTAAAACGTGTGCGGCCCTTTATATCCAAAGAAACTGCAATTCAAATTTATGACGCTTTAATTATACCTCATTTCGATTCCAGCAGCCCCGTCTGGGACTGTTTGAGTGGTTACTTGAATGATAAGCTCCAAAAATTACAGAATCGTGCAGCCAGAATTATTACTAAATCACCCTTTGATACGAACTCAAACCACCTTCTCTCCACCCTCGACTGGGAGAGGCTATCTCTTCGACGAAAGAAACAAAAAGCCTTAATGATGTATGAAACCATGAACAACCTTGCTCCCGAATATCTACAAAGTCTTTTCTATCAGCGTCACTCTCCTTACAACGTAAGAAACTCTGAGGGAAGGCTGACCCTGTCTAAACCAAAAACCAATGATTTAAAACCTGGTTACTCTTACAGCGGGGCCATATTATGGAATAAATTGCCCAAAAACTTAAAAAAATGCTTCATCCGTTGAGCATTTTAGGAGAAATATCAACAAGTTAGCTGATATATCGGATTCCCCAACGGCAATCATGTAAAGCAGTTGTAATTAATCTTAGTTTTTAACCTAAGTTTATCTGATGAGTGATTTTCCGTGTTTAAATAAAGATTTAGTAGGAGAGTTCTTAACATGGTGTAAATACAATAGAATGGTCTGCAACCCTTGCAAATGTAAAGAGCTGGTTGTTAGAAAGAAAAATCATAATGTACTCTACTCTCCAATTAATAATATTCCCCAATGTAATAGCTTCGTTTTACTAGGAGTAACTTTACAGAGTGACGGAAAATTTGATGGGCATGTAAGAACTAAGCTTGTCAAAGCAAACAAGTGTTTACACTTCCTACGAACATTGAGAAACGAACATTACTCTCAGGCAGAGATTGATCATCTTTTTATATCCATTGTTTTGGCTAATTTAAGCTATGCACTTTCAGTCTATGGGGCATCTGAGTCCGATCTTACGGTTGTACAAAATTTTTTAGACCGATGTCATAAACGCGGTTTTATCTCATTTCCAGTTTTTATCAAGAACCTTTTAAACAAACAAGACCGAAACATTTTGAAGAAACTAAAATCAACGGATTGCCACCCCCTGAAAGACATCATTCCTGTCCAAAAGACATATGTACACAATCTTAGGAAAAAAGGCTGCGCGCGCCCGAAAATTAATACACAGCGCTTTATGAACACCTTTGTAAATAGGTTGATATTTAAGCTCCATTTATTGTAATGACATACTTTTTAATTCATAATATGTATGTAGATTTCTGTAGTTTTTCCAATTCATTGTAACATAAGATATGTAGTTTTATCTTATGATGGAATAAAGACTTTATTATTATTATTATTATTATTATTATTATCGTATGAACTGTATTTATCACGTTATTCACGTATTGACTTGATCGTCTCCTTTTCAAGTGCATGTTATTCTGAAAGCTGACAGTTGACGTACAAAAAAAACCGGCATCCGATCTTTTGGTCACACTCAGGAAACACGTTTGTCTTATTAACGGCACACTGCATTCCGAATCAAAAGATGCTAACACTTTACTCCACAGAGGCTCACTCTTTCTGCTCCCAGAAATAAAAAGGAGCGGGAACCTGAAAAAAATGTTGGGTTGCAATTTGTGATCCTATGGCCACCCGAAGAAGAATAGTACTTTTTTCATACCAAGTGTTTCTTGCATTACTTTGGACGGCTGTAAAAGTTAACGATCATCATATTAGCGTATCCGTGGGGTGACTCAGTAAAGTATTTTTGTAAAGGAAATTTTGTTTTTAGTATTCGCCTTCAAACCTGAATAATTGAAAGAAAGGATACTTTCTCATCTCGTCTTGAACTCTCTGCTTCTGTTCTTCAGTCCATGCGACTGATGTTCTTGTAATAGACGGTTTGCCATATAGGATACTTTCAGCTTGTTGAAGATAATCCCCACTGCAAGTGACACCAAGAAAGGTACATACTTCCAGCATTGTTTCTTTAGGTTTGGATATCAGTTCGTGGCTTAAAATATCCAATACCGTGGCATTGCCATAAGTTAGTCGAATTTTTTCATTTGTCTCAACCAGTTCGAAGAAAGACTTTATAAAACCATCAAGCGCTGCTGGTTTATTTACCTGTGTGATAAACACATGGTGATGCAATATATTTCGTTGCAAGGTTGAGAGAATGGAGATAGAACAAACATCAATTTTATCAGTAAATCAGCAATTTGGATTGTAAGATTAGCAAATCGTGTGATATTGTAGTCTGATCGTCCGGGTGAGTGTTATGCTGAGAGGGACTTCTGTCTGTGTTAGTGACTAATGTTTCGGGGGTGGATTGAAGGGCACAGTTACGAGTTTATGCGCGAGAACTGGGTTATACCATTTTTCATCTTATACATCAGCAGGCTCGTATTCATGCGGTGAGGAGAACCGGAAAATGAAATATCTGTAAACTGACTTATGCCATGAATTATCTTCGAATTTGCGCGTTTTCAATAACCTGGACAATAAGTTTGGTTGTGATAACTACTGTAGAGATAATAATGTTAGTCTTGACAACTGAAAGAAATGATCTGATATTAAGGGGAAGGTTTGTGGCTTCCTAGGACCAACATTAGGCCTATAATCAACGTAATAAAGATAAACGTCTTTACAGTATCAAGTTATTTTGAGCACTACAGATTATTCTCTGCTTTCCGTAACTTATACTTTGAAATTTAAAGTCATAGCAAGAGGTGAAATGCGCTGGCATCGAGGGACTGTTCCCTTACAAGGGTGCTTTACATGCTATGCAAATGAACTTTAATCGGCAGAAGAATTAAGACCTCACCTTAGGTAATCCATCGCTCACTTTGAGTCTTAAATTGAAAAGCCTTAGTAACCAGGTGGAAATGACGTCATAAGGATTTCTGACGACGTGAAGAAACCTTAAAGAAATGCTAAGCGATTCATTGAGTTCTTTAAGAGCAGCAAACTTTTCAGGTTTTTCAGTTAGTTCCATTGTTGTTCCACCTCCTTTCTTGTCTCCAATAACCTACACGTCGATTCATAACATGATATATTATCTGAAGATATATCCTGGATGTACATTTTAATGCGTTTTGTTTCGCTTTCATCTGACAGCTAGATAGTTTTCACGGTAGATAGAGGTAATTAGCTTCGTTTCTGAGCTTAAAAACCGTAACATTTTACTTTTGTTGTAATTTTGAGGATGATTTGGCTGCACAAACAACACATGACGCAGCAATACAAGGATAAGAGGATGAATTACAATACCTTTAGTTTTTCATTGAATGACCCTTGCCAAGCGCCAGGGACATGGTAAGAATATATACCATCATCAATGAAGATAGGTTTTTCTGCGCGGCTACCATAGGTGGCTTGCCAAGTGGATAAGGTGTGCAGATTATAGAAGAGGAGGTATTTCAGCAAACCGGATTTCCTGATTGCTTCGTCTTGGTAAGAATTCCAGTGCTCTATGATGTGATACTCATGAGAAACTATAATTTCTGGATGAGCATCCAGAATAGCCCCTACAAGACTGTGAGAACTTCGAGGGTACCCGATGAACATAACAAAGGTCTGAACATCATTGTAGAGATCATACAGTTTGGCTAAGCTGTCAGGAACTCCTCCGGGAAGACACGGAGAGTCTCGAGATTCTTTAAGAGAAAAAAATCCTTTCTTAACGAGAAAAGTACTCTGTCTAGGAATATAATGCTATGTTACATCAGTATATTTTGATATCTTGATTTGGTAATCATTCGAGCTTGATACTGCCTCTGCGCCTTTAAAAGTTCAACCTGCCTAAGCATATCAAAAAGAACCTGGTGGAAAAACAAGACCTTCCGGCTGACTTTCGTGCCTCTTTCCCCTGCATTTTTTGCCTTTCGCAGATAAGCGTGCGAGCAAATTTTCCTGCCAAGCAGAATCTAACGCATGTTTGATTTTGTCAGCCACTTTTACTTTTAAACCGGACGTCATCCATACATGTATTTTACATTTATTTTTATCACGAAACCAATTTCTAAAGACCAAGTTATTCCCATATGTACCCCACTGACTGGACCTTTCGATTTGACATCTGGCTACAATGAATCGCTATTACCCCCACTAATTCAAATTACTTACCCAAGGAGGATTTATAGCTAGGGAGGTCTTTTAGAAGCGGTGATGTCCCGTTATCGTTTTCATCTGATCTGTTCCAAATATACCAACCAGCGATGAGTAATAAAATAATTAAGACTACAAAGGTGCCTCTAGACCATTTTGAATACTTAAGGTGAAATTTCATTCTTGTATCGTGCATATCTGTTGAAAATAAAAAGAAAAAAAAAACCGCTTTTTTTCAAGATAAAAAGTGGATGCGCCGCATTCCTGGTACACTGTATAGGGGAATCCTTGTTTACATAAGCAATTCAGTTTTTGATGGAGCTAAAAATAAATCAGTTCTGAATATCGAAAGCTCAAAGTACGATTAACTCGGCCAATGAATACGAGCCTGATGCATTGAATACTTTTTGTGTAACATGGGTTTAAAAACTCAAAATTTTTACATAGAATGTATGAGCTCATTAGCGCTTTTGCCACCCAGAAATTTTGCAGTTTTTGATGGACTATTTCTCCTTGAATATTACACCCAAAGAGCTAAAAATTTCACCATGTACTAAGGTTTTCTAGCTCTTTAGCTGCCTGAAGTCAATTTGTATCTAACATGCTTCCTTCTTTACGCAAAGCCGTATGCAAATGAGCAAAAATGTAAACAATGACGTCAGCATGAATCCGCCTATTCCTCGATTGATTTCCAAGTGAGACCGTCTAGTAAGCCCGCCAAATTTAAGAAGGTCATAATGCAAGCAGAATTCAATTTTCTCGATTCATAGATTCTTTTGATATATGAACTTAAGAGCATTCTTTTCAAAAGCAGTGAAGCGCTGAGACTACGTCTTATACATCGTATACATATCGAAGCTGTTGCGTTAGCTGCATTCGTTGACTCTTGAGGCACTCGGTTATAAAAGAATCGACATTTATAGAAAGGTTGTTACCTAATTTATTCAAAGCGCAAGTTATTTCTAAATTTTTAAGCAAATAAAAAAAAAGACTTTCAGCGATTACAAAATAGAAGAAAGAAAAGAAAGCAGGAAGAAACTTAGGCAATTAACAATATTTACCCGGTTGCTTGAAGTGCGGCTTGGAGTGAACTTTGGATTCTTACAATCTTACCTTTACGGACAACGAAATTACTAATCGAGTGCTTGCAAATTATTACAATTTATTTATTTGACACGCAAATCTGCGTGTCAAATACAGTTCTTTCGTGACTGCGCTAAACAGAGGCTTACAATGAAGAGTTTCAGGATGAATATTCTTAAATTACAAAAACATTTATTTCAGTTACTCTAGTCAAGGTCCCTTTTCCGAACTGAAATAGTTTCTGTTGGGAACGTATTACAAGAAATAAAAATAAGACTAAATAAGTAAGTTACGAAAGAAAGCGTTAACCCAGGTGTATGAGCGTACGTGCCTTACTATTTTGTCGGAGAACGGCCTAGTTTGGTACGAGCTGAAAGCAGCATTAGTTTCCCCATACACAAGGCTAAACTATCCACAAATTCAGTGGCCTGGCATTTTTTGGCGGAGGTAAGGCTTCAGTCACACAACGAACTGTTTCTCGTTGAAAAATATAAAGCAGGAGATGTTGAATTAGCTCCATTTATGCACAGTTTTCCTGCATATCATTTTGGTCTCACTTGGGAATTGACAGAAAAAGACTGAAAAGGAAGTCAGTGTAGAATTGAAACCGCTAACCCCTTTACATAAAAATAACCTGACCCTCGAAATAGATAACCGGAGAAAATAGGAACTCTGTACAACCACTAAATCTTCCTTGCAATAAATTACTTTCAGAAAAAAATCTCTAGAATCTGTTCAGAGAGGGATCTGAAAGCTTTTACCTACCAAAAGACTCACCTGTAAAGACCATTTTGAATTATGACTTAGCAAGAGCCAAAAAAAAAACATTCCACGTGGTTGCCGACCGAAATCAGCCGCTTAGTGACAGAAGCGAGTACAGAAATATGCAAATATCAATCAAGGAAAGCGGCATTGGTTTTGAAGCGAGTTTTTTTTTATTTTTTTTTTATTTCTTTCAGATTTCCGAAGAAATACCAGGTTGATATTTGCTTTCGGCGATAAATGTTTTCTTTTGCTCTTTGTGAGTGGTTGCGTGGATTTCAAAAATACTCCGGAATAAATTAGGTAGATAGTTGCAGTAATGTGAAAACATGGAAATCGGATGTTATTAACTCTTGGAAATTCAATTTTTACATTGCTGTATAAAATTGCTGTATAAAAAAAGCAAGCTGATTAGAGGGAGAAAAGATAATTCTTTTTCTACTCATAGTTCGGGAAAGAGCTTCTATTTCCTTTTCATCCTTGAATGTTAATTCATTCTCAAGCTTTTAGCGGCTGCTGGGATTTTGTCACAAGAGATAATTAAAATCAAAAGGGTGGGTTTCAATAGATGTGAAGCAAAACGACCTCTTTTTTTACTATTTTTGATCAGAAAGTTACTTTAACGATGCTTTATCACTAAATGAACGGACGAAGCGGGCCAGTAACTTTTTAACTTTTGTAAATAATTTTAAAAAACACAGTTTTGCAACAAATTCGACTTGGAATAGTGTTACCCATGTATAATGATGTCACTTCGAAGCAAGTCTATTGTGTTCCAACTGTCAACTGATGTCGTTGTTAGAATATTTTAACGCGCGAATTTTTAATTAAAAAACGCTTTGATAGTCGAAAAACTATTTTCTCTTACGACGAAGTATCATTAACTGAGCTGCTTACAAAAAGAAATTATTATATCGCCTTCGATTATTTGAGCTTTTTCAATTCATGAAAAGGCTTTAAAGAAAGTAGAGGGAAATATAGTCACTATTATTTAGCCTTCAGAACTACTCCTTTATTAGCTGTAATAAAGCTACAATAACTACTCTTTTCTTGAAGAACCTTCGTTTGAATCATACGTGTTTGTGAATGCAGTAAATGGTTTGAACCCGGGGGTAACATGTGAAGGTGTAGTCTGATCGTCCGGGTGAGTGTAGTCCTGAGAAGGACTGTTGTCGGTGGCAGTGACTGACGTTTCGACAACCTGTGCGGAAGTCATCATCAGAGTCAAGTGANATTGTATCTGATTTATCATCACGGGTTTATTACGAATCAACTTAACGGCCTGCTCCCAGTTGGCTTGTTACCTCAATTGGTAGAGCGCTGCACTAGTATCGCAGAGGTCAGTGGTTCGAATCCCGTACAGGCCTGATTTTTTTCAGGTCTGATTTTCGCTATTGCATAAATAGCGTTCTCTACTACGAGGATCGTGCATCACACGTATCTATAACCGCAGTCCAAAATATATGAACTTCATATATTTACCGTACCAGTTTGTGTATATATCCCGCAGCTTTTAACGGGTGAGTAGACAACGAATAAAGCATTATTCCCTCAGCTTTGGATTGATACTTCATTTTGAAAATGGACGAGCAAGGACAATAAAGGAGACAATGCGTTGGTAGTACGTTGAATGTCTTTGTTTTTGATACTTTTGTTGTTTGTTTGTTTGTTTGTTTCTTTTTTACCTTTTTACTTGCTAAGCTTTCAGTGTTCGCGTAAAATGTTTTTTCGGAAACTAATTTCAACCATGGACCCCAAGATTTAACTCAAAGCATATCAAGGACGTTGTTTAAATGTAAAGATGCAGTAACTGCCTCACGGCGTGTTGTTTGGCTGACATTGAAAAGAAGGGGGCGTTACATACTCACGGGAAGCGTGAAAAGTCCAGGAGTTCGGAGGCAAAATTGGGTAAAAACTTTGGGGAAAGGCGGGCAAACATAAAGACAAGGGTAGGGGAATAACGGGGAAAAGGTGGGAACTATTGATAGCAAGGGTGTGGGATGTATAACAAGAAAGGTGGGAAAGTAATATCGAGGAACAGGTTTGACAAAGATAATTAAATATAGGGCAACGGTGGGGAAATATGGATAGGAATGAAGAACAGGAAAGTCCATCCAGTGATAAAACTTGTTGTCAAATTGTTGTCAACTGTATTGAATAGACCCAGTGTCACATATAAATTTGTCATGGGATCAACTATGAATTAACTCTCCTCCTCGCATGCGCAGTTACTAAGTATTATGTCCATTGAGTCGTTTCAATCATCTATTAAATGAGTCTTAAATATGACTTTCAGGCCACTAGTAACGATCATTTCTTTGTTATGTTGATTTTTGATTCAGGACCTTTCAACTCTTCGTTAACAAGGAGTACTGATCAGGCCTTAAGACTATTTATTCTACTCTAAGATTAAACATACACAGCCTCCCGAGAACTTTGTATGAACCTAACCAAGGGTTTGTGTCCCTTTTGGTACAAATAATTCGGCCCTTACATCGATTCTGTAATGTAACTGAAAAATCAAGTTCATGAATTTTATCCGTAGAAAAGGGGCAGAAATTAAAACATCCAAAATATCAGCGAAACATAATTTCAAATTATAGGAGTAAAATAAATTAAATGAAGATCGTGGAAGGTAGTCATTAATCTTAATGATATACCTAGTCAACAATCAGGTTTCAACTGCGATAAGTTATAGCTGATTACAAACGCTTTTCATATGGTGTAGAACATGAGATTGCGAAAGTATGGTATAAAAGGAGTGATGATAAGGGCGCTGTGATATCAGCTGGAGTGTTGAGACTCTTTCCTTGTTAATGATTTTGAATCTAGTGAGCGACTTCAGCCAGGAAATGATACAGGTTTCCTCTTCTTTTAGGAATGTTGGGCTCTTCGCCTGAAAACAACAGGAAAGGAATGGTGGATTTCTTAAGAATATCGTAATAGGCGATTATGTGGCGACCATATGAAGGAAGCTTAAAAATAATAATGACATCATTTATTTTGTTTAAGAACCGTGGATGAAAAATTGGTAGCTCATGAGTAAATACATTTTGCTAAAAAGATACTCATTACCTCCACAATTTATTATCGAATGATACAATGTAAACTCACTTGTTACTGTCAACTTTTCCTAAACCCCGTCAAATGAAAAGTTCGATGTCTTGTTTGTGTATCTAAAGATCTCTTCCTTATCTGTTCATGCAAGTCTTGGAATTCGTCAAAAAGATATCTGTGTTGAGATTCACACTGGTTAACAAAAGATGGGCAAAATGCAGACCCGTCCTCTCTCAGGTTTACCCAGAGAATTTGAGCAAATTACCTCCTGATCCACAGGTTTAAAAGTCCAGATTTAAAGGAGTTCAACATCTTTGGAAGGATGTAGAGGATAAACAAGTAAGAAAACAAAGACATCTTCGAGTCTTTAGTCAGAAGAAATCCAAAAGTTACTTTCTTGGCAAGATTGCGAAACACAAAAGATATAAATCAGACTATACTAAAGACGTCAAAGGATGGAGAAGTGGAAAACTCACTACGAAAGACGAAGTTTACTTGGTCCATAGTATGAAAAGATTTTAGCTGCTTTAAACTGCTTTGTTTGAAATGTGTTTTGTAATGTCAGTCCTAATTCTGCGTTTTACGAATACCAGAAAATACCAAAAACATCACCTGTGATCATCGCTTAACAATCTTCTAGAAAAGATTAATGCTTGTTCACTGCCTAATGACGGGTATAAACCGGGTTACAAAACGAATCGGGCTGCAGCGATCACATGTTAAGTTATATCCAAAGCTTGCAAAAAAAAAACCTGTGCAAACTTGGTAGTGGAAAAAGTTACTGAGAATGTTTAAAACTGGAGCTAATGTACTTTTGAAGTTAACGATCCTACTAAAATAAAGGGGCACCTATATAGTGCATCGCCTAAACTTTGCCGTTAACTTTCCTATCATAAAATGCTCGAAAGGTGAGATGTTTAGGGAAAGGCTGAAAGGATATTGCTATGATTTAATTGGGTATCAACCATAGCCAAGTATCATTATTATTAACAGAATTAGTTATCATGTCTGCTTTGCTGGTTAAGCTTTGCTTGGCATATTTTATCCTGCAACTCAATTACTTTATCTTGTAGCTCATTAAATTTAGTCTTAATCACATGGTAAGCAGCTGGTATTGAAGCGATATCACTAAGTTCATTCGTGTTGTAAACTGGACCCAGACCCACAGAAATGACCGTCACTCCTGCTCTGTGAAGCGCTTGAGCGGAAGGTTGAACATTGTCCCGTGAAGTACCTCGTGTTAGCACAACAAGAACTTTGGGGACATTTATCCGACTAGCTTTATCAAACAACTTTTGACCGGCTAAGGCCAAAGCTTTTCCTGTCATGGTAACGGTTCCAGGATACTTAATGTTCTCTACAGCGAGGGCTAAATCCCGAGGGAGAGAATATTTATCGAAAGGAATTGACAATGTGGGTTCAGTTCCTAAAGTAATGGCCCCCACCCGAGTTGCTTCAGGTGAAATGTGAAATCCTAAAGAAACATTTTTAACAAAGTCCAGCATTTTCTTGAAGTTTCCTTTTCCAAGAACCTCGACACTCCTTGCACCATCGATAACAAATCCGAGGTCGGAATGGCACTTTCTCTGGGTCTGTAATCGAGCTGCAAGCAAACATGCCGAATGGATTTAATTAGTCTTACGATTAGAGTGAGCCTTGTAGACAATTTAAGTTTATAAGCAAATTGGGTGTCTTGTAGATAGACTTACTCGCAGCGGCTCTGCGTCATTATGTTGCGCTTAAGTTTGTTAAGTTAGCTGAGCGACGTTGGTTGAGTATGTTAGTGTCTAAATTTCTGAATGGATCTTAAATATCTTAAATGATAAGATATTTAACACTGCAGTGACACGTGCTTAATACTGCAGTGACAACAACTGATTGACTGCTAAGGGTGATAAGAAATCTTTTTGTGTGGGCCACTTGACGGACTCCGATGAAAACCTCTTGTCAATATTTGTTACGCGCAAATTAATGGAAAAAAATGAACGTATGTCTATCGTCTCATCATTGATCATAGGTACGAGGGTTGAAGAAGACAAATTCAAAAAACTAGTTTGAACAAGATAAGAAAGTTGAGTCCTGCAATAGGTTGCAGTCCTTGTCACTCGTTAGTATGTTAGAAAACACTCGTGTGTCTCGCGAGTCAAGCTCATGAGGCGTGTTTATAAGATAAGAGAGTGAAGTCCCTCAATAGCCTGCATTCCTTGTCACTTACTAGTACGTTAGAAATAGAACATAGTTATCCCATGAGGCGTGTGTTCGAGGTATGCGTGTTATGCCAGTGAAACCAGCTACAGTAGGTATGAATACAGATTAAAAGAGTTATACCTTTAAAATAAGGCCTACACGTAGGACTCGCTCCCTTAGCATATTTTTGTCTTGTAATCAGCTATTCAGACTCATCTATTTTGTCAAGAACTTTTGTTACTAACTTTAAATTGATGTTTGTTTGCCTACCTATTAAATATTCAAAAGTAGCTCCACTTAGTTTCGCTCTTTCCCACATGTGCTTACATGAACGTACTTAAGTCAAAAGCTTTATCGCAAGCTGCTTACCTGCCCTTCTCGCGGACTGACATATTTCTTTTTGAATTCTCCCCATGAATACAGCAGCATCATTAAATGGAGCTAAGAACACGTGACTGTTCTTGGGTTCGGATGCGATGATATCAAGTTGTGTTTGATTGACATTGTTACCTACGCCAAGGCAGAACACCTCGATACCTCGCCTTTTAAGTTCAATGGCGGGTCGACTGACGTTATCAGATGAAAATCCGTCGGTTACCAGAAGCAGCGCCTTGTGTTTTGACGTAGCAGGCTGACTAAACAGCTGCTTTTGAGCCACTGTGAGCGCCTTTCCTATTCGTATCTCAAGGTTTGGAATACTAGCGTTATCAATAGCTTGATCCATGCTCTCCTGATCGAGGAATTTGTCGAAGTGTACCACGGACGGTTGTGGTGAGCCTCCGTACACCACCATACCGACACTGTTACCTTGAGGAGAAGCAGGGAATAAGTGGGAAACTCGTTTCAACAAATCCATCATCTTTGCTGCCTGTTGCGTACCACGACCTTCGGGGGAAGATGAACTATCCAAGACTACTCCGAGGTGAACCTTACCGCAATCTAAGGGAAAAAGTAGAATAAATGGTGTCGTATTACTGTCGAGGACACCGATAGGAATCGACAGAAGAAAATGTCTTGCTGGTAAACTATGAGTTGGTTAGGTTTCCTTCGTGAAATTCTATCCGAGATGCAAGGATACATCTTGAATGCTTTCTTCTGATGCAGAGGAAAAAGTATGCAATTTCAATAAGCCTCTCAACCGAATTCAAGCTATGCGCGATGAACATTCGTGCTCTACGAAAAAATTTTCGTTTGATCTACTCAACATATTTATGCAAAGACCAAATAAAAATTTGAATTAATTTTGGAATATGAAGATTAGTAGAAAATCATTAGTGACAACGAGCAATTGCTCTGATGTTTGTGTTTTATACGAACGAGGCTGCGAATTCTCACCATGACTATTTTGTTTTTCTCCTTCGGCCTTAAAGTTTTCTGCAGCTTTTCCGACAGCCATAATCTTTGAAGGCACTTTGTATTCCGGTGATGGCTCATATTTTTCATTGGAGTAGCCTTCAGGATAATTTGGCCGCTCAAAAGCTTTACTGCTGATGTCCTCATTAGAAAGCGCTTCAGTGCCTGGACGTAAACGAAGACTGGTTCCCTGAACTCTTTCGGTGTTGAGTGCTGTTGTTTTAAACGAATCACCCGGAGAACCATGGAATCCGTGTAATGCTTGACTTTGATTAAATGGTTGTGCAATGCCTGAGTCGTCCTTGTCCTGGGACTGATAATTCTCCTTTACTCCAGCGGCAAAGGGCTGCTCCCCTGCATCGCGTAAAGGGCCTAGAGTCCCGTTATTCTGGCTATCTTGAACGCTTTCCATTCGTTGATGGCTTTGGAATCCACGATTCTCATCTGAATTTGTCGACGAAACCTTTGAGGTTTCATCCACAGCTCCATTTTTATTCTCGAGGGGCGGAGATAGTAGGGTTTGAGAATGTAACGCCTCCTCGTCTTGACTAAGTTCTCCCGAGGAAACAAGCGGGTTCTGATTCTCCTGATCGTTCGAAGAACTAATTTTGGAGGGGTGAAGTCCACTAGAGGTCATTTCTGCTTGCCTCTCTGAATTACCACCTGCCGGCCTAGCCTGCTGATCTGCTATTCCTGGTCCTCCTGTGGATTGAAAGCCTTCAGTAATTGGTTCTTCCTGGGAAAGGGGCCTCTTGTCAGTCTCTGACTCCTTATCTTTTTGAGAATATCGCTCATAATGATGGTTTGAGTCTGTAGGTACCGCTCCGGTTTCAGAGGTGTCTTTCATGTAATTAGAGGAACGCCCAACCTGGCCGTTGTTCGTCTCACAGGTACAAGGAACTTGTCTGTCTCGAACTATCCCCATAACATCTTTATGCAGATTGAGGAACAATAGAGGAAATATTTGATCAGAAATTTTGCCTGGCGTCTCTTGAGAGCTTCTGGTCCACCTAGTTAACTCAATTACACCATGATTATCAGTCGCCACATTGTAACCAGGTAGCTTTATGAGGATTTTGAGTATATAAAAATCTTATAATGTTGATAATAATCTCTACAGATATTTTTGGATTGCGAATAAATTCGGAGAAGTAGGTTGCGGTGACACATTGAAGTCATTTATCTGTTTTCGTCTCACAGAAACTCTTTGAAAACCCTGTGTTTCGACTTAGGTAGATACATAGAAACATACAGTCATATTTCTCCCATACGGTTTCTTGAAACGTTGAGAGGTAAACGTTTTCCTTCTGGTAAACAAAATGGATTTCCAATAAGTGAAAAGCATGAATTGAGAAGTTCAAGGTATAATTAGCAGGGCATAATTCTGGCGTTGAAAGAGAGCTTTTTACACATGACCGGTAAGATCACTGTGCAATCACTTCAGCTGAAAAAAAAATGGAAGTTATAACTCTGACCAAAGGACAAACTTGTCCTTCTCTCACCCGAAATCTACTGTCTTACCTCTACAAACCTCCTGAATGATATCATCCATTGCATTTGGCAAAGTGTCTAAGAAAGCGGTGAAAACGTGTTCTGACTTTGGCTCTGAAGCAATGTTTATCAGTTCCCTGACATTGGCTTGTTTACCCAGGCCAATGGCGGTAACTTTGACTCCAGTATCTCTCAGCTCTTCTGCAGGTGCAATTACATCGTCCGCTGAACCACCACTTGATAACAGAATAAGGGCCCTCGGAGCATCTTGACGACCGGAAATGGCAAAGAGATTCGTTTTCATTTGCAAGAGGGCATTTCCTGTGTAGGCTTTCCCTCCGATATACGGCGCGATATTAACGGCATCGTCAAATTGTCTAAAGTCGCTGAGTCCTTTAAGATCAAGAGCTGTTTTAACATCATCGCCAAAAGCCATTAATCCAATGTGGGTGTTTCTTTTGTCAAATCCACGGGAGAAGATCTTGATGAATTCCAGAACACGAGCATAGTATGGCTGGGGGATATTGCCAGAGCCATCTACAAGAAAGGCGACGTCTGCTTTGGCGGAGCACTCTGTGAGATGAAAAATAAAGTAATGTTTACATTCTCTATCATAGAAGCAAAAAACATATCTGGCCCGATTTGACAAGCTATATGCTAGTTGACAGTTACCAATTTTCTCGTGGTTACGGCGATAAAACAAAGACAAACTGCTGGATGCCTTCGATAATTGCTGTTTATTCAACATCTTGTTGGGCAACCAAGACTTTCGTGAAGGCTTTGCTGACCGATTTGTTGAATAATAACAAGGTTTTTAAAAACTAAGAATACCTACTTGTGTCACAGTTAACCTCTTCATACCAAATTCCGAAAAGGAACGTAACAGTTGTTCACTAATCAAAACTACTATGCGATAATGTATATGGCTAGGAGTTATTGTGAATCTTACCTTTCTTTGGACACAAGCAATCTTCCGCTGGCTCTGAAGTATAGTCGTTCGACGTAAGACTGGTTTCAATTTTTTCCTGGGACTGTTCTTTATTTTCTAAACCAGAACTAGAATGGCGTTGATTCATTGCTGCCTCACCCCTATTCTTTTCAACTTCCTCTTGAACTTGCTCTTTGGAAGTTTCTCCTGTGTACGCTTGTGGCATGCTAGAGTCTTCATATGCGAATCCCATGCCTCCATCGGGACCTGCCTGGCCTTCAGAGTTAGCTTGTTGTATTATGCGTGCATCCTCTCCCTGAGAAAGATCAGTTATTCCCTGAATGGCTTCATTGTCAAAAACCGGTCTTGACTGCTGGCTGGCATCTGCTATGGGTGACTCTTCATTTTCTGGTCCATAATCTTCCCCCGTACCACCTTCATGATTTTGCATTGTACTGTCCACCCCAGGACTTAAAGACTCCTCTCCATTCGCCGGCCCATAATCCATTCCTCCCATTGAAGCGCCTTTGTTTAAGTCCACCATAGGCACTGGTTCACCTTCATATGATGACTGCTCTTGATCTGACTCCTGTTTTTCATTTCTTTCACCTCCTCCATTTGATTGAAGTGTTTGTCCCTTACTCGACGCAAAGGGTTTGCTTGACAGTTCTTCCTGTGGAGGATATTTTTCATGTAAAGTTGTTCCGACGTCATGCAGGGATTTAGGATTTTTCTCTGCTCTCTGTGAATCTATTCCAAAACTGGCCTTCTCTTTGGTCATAGACAGAGCATCTCCTGTTGTAGAAACATGGTGCGAGTCACCAACTGGTCCCTCAGCTCGTTCCCCGTGTTCGACGTACGCCCCTTGTAATTTACTTGATGTCGGTTCAGTGGCTCTTTCTTTCTGCCCGAATGCCTGCTTTTCTTTGCTAGACAATTTCCGATGGGGTGACATGTCTGTGTCTTTGGAGGACATCGAAGTGAACCCTGATTCCATTGGCCTCTTCTTTGGAAGTGCAGATAGAGATTGGTGCATTTCTTTTCCCTTTTCATTTTGTAAGTTTTCCTTGAACCTTGTGGGTTTTCTCTGCTTTATCTCCGTGTCCTGTTGTTGAGTATTGTGAGCTTCTGTCTCCTTACTGTTTTTTAATTCTGTTGTTACATGGTATCCGCTGGGTTTATTCTCCAGTTTTCCACTCTCCTTTGCAGAGTCATGAAGATGGTCAAAGTAGTGTTTATCGTGAGGACTAACCAAGTTATCCGATGAAGTATCGGTTTTCATTGTTTCTAGTGACTGGCCAACCAGGCTAAACCCCTTTGAATTTCGCGAGCTTTCGGCTGCATTCATTTTGTCAGTTTCCAATATGGCTGGTCTCTTTTGATCTTTGTCATCATAGTGTTCATTTGTTAAAGGCGTTTTTAATTTGGGAATCAGGAAGTCATCTGCAGCCGGCCCAACATGATTCATTGAAGGATTATTCAATCTCGAAGAAGCTGCTCCATTGGAAAACTTTTCCTTATTAGAATTGTCTGCATCAAAAGGTTTTGACCCCTCATACAAATTTACATTGTGTTCTTCCATGTTTCTTTGTGCTTTAGGATTTGATGAAAGACGCATTGGTTGCTTTGGAGTGTTTACCTCGAACGAAACGCTCTTTCTCGGCACACTAGGTGATTCATTAGAATATTTTCCTTTGCCATTTGTAGGGTACTGACTAGAAGTGGATACAGATTTTTGAAACGAGGCAATCTTTTTGAAATCCTCTCGAGATATTGGGACATATTTCTCCGCTTTTTTAAGGGAGCTATGAAGGTTAAAATTGTTTCCTTGATCTTGATTAGGATATTGTTCTATTTGTTGTACATGATGAGTCTGTTCTTCTTGCTCTCCGCGAAATGCATTTTGTCTCTCCTTCGATGAAATTTGTCCGCTAGGACCTGCAAATTGTCGCACGTGACGTCCTGCTTGGTTGCCATTCTGGTAAGAAGGTTTTGAAATGTGAAACTCTGGAGTTCCAAGTCCAAAGTTCCCTGAAACTAGGATAACAGATGATATCAGGCAGAAATCATTTCAAATACAAGGAAAACTCTTTTTCTTCGATTGAAACCGTAGAGGGACCAATTCAATCGGCGTTTTGTTTGCTAAAACTCCATGCTGACATGTTCATTTACAGTCTATGATATCTCTGTGCATTATTCGACGTCAATTATTTCGTATACATTCACTCAGTAACACGGTGAACTCAGATTCGAAATATTAAATGTTTTCTATCAATAACAACAACAGCACCCTTCATTTTTTCATTTGTTAAATTAAAGTAACAGCTAGTCCGGTCTGCAGGTAGATAGATAAATAGCTAGTGCTAATCTAGGCGAGCCAGTCTTTAAAGTCTAAGATGTAATAGATCAAAAACGAGTGCGAGTGTTTCATCAGGGGTTCCAAACACCGAGAAACAGATGAAAGCACGAGGCCGCAGGCCGACTGCTTTTATTGTTTCGAGGTGTTTGTAACCCTTGATGAAACACGAAGCACGAGTTTTTGGTATAGCTTCTGAAACGAGTTGCCGATTATTGTTTGTAAACAATAGCTAGAGAATATGATAAAAATGGTTTCGTTGGAATGTTTCATTTGGGAGTTAGCCAACTTATTACAGTTTATCAATTCAGTTTACTGTGCGAGATGGATGAGTCAAGTTCAAGGTTTCGGATTCCCAAAACTTCTGACGAGGAAAAGGCGTCTATTATCAATTCTGTTCCGAAATCGAGGGTTTACAAGAACAAATGGGCGATACAGATCATGTCAGTTCAGTATTTCAGGGAGTAACTTTCGATGAATGTATTGTTAAACTCGTCATCAATTCTACGAACTGCGATAACATGTGAAATACCCAACTATTTTGTTACAATCTTTGAAGGAAATAAAATTTTGTTGTTTGCTTGAGATGTCATTTACTTCAAATTAATTTATTGATGTCATATGATTTTCCGAGAATCAGTGGACATTCGGAAATTGTATCCAAATCTCTAAAGATTTTCATCCAATTTTTCATTGGGTATCCAAACACATGCACGTGATGTGGTATACATGCAGTGATTTGTAGTTGACTTTATGAATTGTTAATGAGTTTGAGAAGGTCTGATAGAATACTCCTAAATCATAATACATTAATTCTAACACAATTAAATTAAAAAAAAACCAAATTTACAAATGATGAAATAGGAAGTAGGTTTTTGTCACTGTTTACTCTCTTACCTTTGCAAACTTTAACGTTGCAATCTTGACTCTCTATACTGGGACCCAAGTTCCTACAATCTTTTCCGCCATTGGACGGAGGTGGATTTGAGCATTTACGCATGCGCCTTCTAACTCCACCGCCACACGACTTACTGCATTCAGTCCAAGAGGACCAGGGGCTATACTCGCCGTTGACAGACTTCTTTGGGTCTACAAAACTGCAAATACAAACAGGATTCGCGAGTTCGAAAAAATTTGATGAACATAATTTGAAAACGTAGTCTTGGAAAAAAAAGATAACTAACGAAAATGAATAGTGTCAAAAAGTCGGCTTGGATGGAAATACTCAGCTGCCAGAGATGATCTTAATTTGGATTTTTATGTTTTTTAAGATAACTCTGCTCATTGGACTATTGCATCTTTGGTTTGATACACCTTTAAGTGTTCCAGCAATATCCAGTTTCTATAATTGTGTCAGCCGGTTCCAAGTACCTAAATGGTTTAAGCAATAAAGTTTGAAGGCACAGATTCTTAGAAAATTTATCAGGGTTCCAAATATCTGTGTAGAGCATGGTAATTCACTTCTTATCTTTCGATACATCGAATGCCTTAGCCACCATTAGTCAAATTATTATATGATAGTTAACTTTTACCGATATACTTGTAAACTCCAAGGCCCCCCTTTACCATCACCTGCAAATAAAAGATCCCATTCAAAGCATGTCCATCTGTGCTAAGGAATGAGTTCGCTAAGGTAGTAGAAAGGGTTGCTGTATCGTATCCGTGAAGATTAGGATAATTGATGGATGATTCTGCCGTACAGAACTGAACTAAACATGCGGTAAGGCTCTATATCTATACTTGTCTTTGGTGAGCTACAGAATGCGCTTTGGTTCGTGACCCAATCAACTATTTATCTTGCCAATCCAAAAAACCTAAAGTTAAATTTATCAATTATGGAGAAGAGGTCAATCTCAGCGATGGATTAGTTTTGATAATGTCGTTGTCAGCGAGAACGAATGTGAATCACCTGGTGACGACATTAACCAAAACCTTTCTCACTCACTTGGCCATTATACCTCTACCTTCTCTGTGTACAGTGTATTCACTCTAGGCATAATGCCATTATCCATGTATCTCGGTACAAAGCCTTAAGACAACAAGCATCGACACCTTGTTTAAGTGATTGGATAGTTTAATAGTGAATAACATTCTGTCTCTATCAATTCCTTTCCGACTTTTTTCTAGCAACAATTTGTGGTAAATTTGGCGTTTAAGCAAAGCCGACTTTTTCAGGAGATCCAGCGTTTATAAAAAGAGCTCACTGCTCTGCCATTTTCAAGCTCATGGTCCCTCCATTTTTCATTTGAAAAATTTGACGTATAAATCCAAAAGATTTAAAGAAGCTGTACACCACTGTATATTGCTACAGAGCTATTGATTAGAGAGTTGTGACATCTTGCCTAGAAATGGAAAACTCAAGTAAAAGCCAGTTACCCACTCAAGGTTTCAAGGTTAGGTCTAAACCCTTAATCTTGAACCTAACGTGGGGCCTTAATCAAAAACCCAACGTTTATTCGTATATAAATTGTTTTCGTGTGGGTTCGGTCTCGACTGGAAGAAAAATACTTCGTTTTCCTCCTACCGAAGGAGAACGCCCCCTGGGAGCACAGCTTTTATGTATTCTATTTCAAATATTGACACCCTTTGTTACCTCTACAGTCTTTAGAAGCTCCATATCTGCGATATTCATTGTCCCCAACAGAACTCGCAAAGCACTGGCCTCCGTTCTCGATGCCGAATATTTTACGTCCCTTATCGAGAGCCGCCCTTGCACATTTATACAAAGCATGCCTTCTGCCTTTGTAATTGGGATCCATTAAAAGATAATGTTCTCCTTCGATTGTTGGTAGGCCCCGCGCCCATGCATCTCGCCAGCAACCCAAACTTTCAAACCCTATAGATAAAGCACAACTCATGCTGGTATATTTCACGCCCTACATACACCATAAAAAGAAAATTACAATATCGTAATTTGGGATAATTCTCCAAGGCTCTGTTTATTTTTAAATGCACAAAGTTTCGACGCGCAGCATTTATTAACAGTGATATCACTGAATGACAGATCATTGTCGAGTTTAGATCCATAGATCGTTACCCTTCGTACTTTCTGTTCAAGTATGAGGACGTGAGCTCAAGAGGACGTGAGCTGATTTCGCATGGTCCAGTATATGATACAGTCAATTCTTTTTAAACCTGTCACGAGAACTATATTGTAGTATCAGTATACTATAATTAAGAGAGGACCGTGATGCAGCTCAGCTCGTCCAATAGTTCTGCAGTTTATAGACGAGTACGCAATAAATACCCAGGCGTTTCCGCAAAATAGGCGCATAACTAGAAGTATAATCACGGGAAGAGCGTAACAAGCCAGAGGTTTGAAAGTATAGTGAGCTTTATAATATCTCTATTAACTATAGGTCACTTACGTTGGCCATTAATTTCTAACTCCCCCGTAATTTGTTGCCTCTTCTCCAGTTTTTCAAACTCTTTGTCCTCGCCAGATGTCTTTTTCTCTTAATCAAGAAAGTATATTATTAGCTTCAATTGAGCTCAGCGGTTATGTAGATTTAGGCAAAGTAATTTTACCTCAAAAGGCGCAAAGTAAGGTATCATCCCCTCAAAGACGATTCTCTAACTGCACGCACGAATGCACGATAATTTCCTAGTTTCCCTGTTTCCTCGGTGCAACTTTATTTTCTATCTCTTTAAGGTCTTGAATGCATTCCATTGGAAAACTTTTGGATAATAAACCGATACAGCTAATCCGTGAAGCAGTAGGATTTTGAAGCAAGGTGAAGGCTTTAACGTATTTCAGTAGATGAAATGAAAGATTTCACCTATTTGAGTTTACCAAACTCAAATAGATCCCGTCTACTGATTTGTCCAACTCTAAAAAGAGTTAGTGAATACAGGCGACGTAAAATGAAAATATACCACAGGGGTTTTTAAGAGCCACTGTTGTGTCAGAGGGCGGGCTTATTTAAAAAAAAAATGGACTTGTTTCAGCCGGAAAACCAATGGGTCTGGAAACCAACGAGTCTACCGAAGGAAGCCAAGTTTTTCTTACTTCTTTTGTCCTGTCAGTCCTTAAGGTGAAGTTGTTATAAGATGCTATAAGAAGTAAGCATTTTAATTCACACATACATTTTTTAAACATTTTTTACATCCGGTCGGAAACCTCCACACAACATATTCACTTACCTTTATTTAACTTGTTGATGTACCTGCCATCCACTTTGATACAAATCACATTCACGAAGAGTAAAACAATGGCCCACATGTAGTGTCTTTGCTCTAACAGACTTAACATTTCAGCCTTAGGACTTGAAGCGACCTCAATATATTTCTAACTAGATAGAAGAAAGGAGTAAATAAAAGTAATGAAGATAACAAATAAGGAAAAATCAGAAAAAAGTTAAACACAGGCAAAATAACAGAAAATAAGAAGAAAATCGGCTTACCTTACCAGTTGTAACAAACACAAATTTGGCTGGTTTTTCTTTCAAATCAAAACGATAGCGTACTTTTGACTTTAACTTTGACTTTGAAAATTTTTGCAACAATTTTGTTAAGTTGTGTATTCCAACATTGCGCTAAATTTAAACCGTAAATTTCCCTCTCCACGACGCTGAACAGTCTTTATCTCGTTAACGAGAAATAGGTTAAACTAAACTTTTCATGAATATTTCAAGATGAACTTTTGAAATATTCATGGCTAATAACCTAACAACCGTAAAGGAAACCATAAAATTTTTGTTTTCACTCGGGTGTGCGAAAAATCGATAGAAATCGACTTAAGCTTACGAAAAATGAGTAACGGATATTGTGATTGATACTGGAACAAAGAAAACCCATCCCCACCAATAAGCAAAATCTGCTTTTGTCGAAAGTGGAATAAGTTCCCCACATAATTACCGGAGGTATGCTAACGTTATCCTCTGTATCTAAGAGGAGATCAAAATGAAACTTCTATTTGACGATCTAATACTTTGAAAAGAAGACTGGTAGCAAGAATATCAAACCTTTTCGTGAAAATGGAAAAAAAACCCAAAGTTATATTCTGATTTAAAAGAAACATTAAATATTTCATAGGTAAATCCTTCCTCTTTGTTATAAAATGAACTATTTTAAATTAACATTTCCGATAGCTGCAAAACACCCTAAAAAACATACACGGAGGTATCGCCAGTTGAGCTTGTGAAACGGGTGATAACTGTTCCAAACTACTGAGTTTAGTGATACATGTCTGTGAACCGGAACCTTTGAGATAAAGGAGTTGCGATGATCACTTAAAGCTCGGAGAATCGATATCTTCTCGAGGAGGACCCGTCATGCAATTTGACGACGACTTCAACATATACCGGAGCCCAATTCCCCCGAAGGAGACTAACATTCCTTATGCCTTATGCTGGCTGGTTTTTTGATGACAGTTACATACTGTAACAAGTGCATCATTTAGCTTTGATTCTATAAGTGTGGTCACCTCACTTTACACTTGGTAAAGCTGAGGCTTCACTGCGCCTAAAATAGTTTGCTTGATTTTATTCTCGCACTCAGAAAATATTTCGAACGATGGACATATTTAAAATAGAGAAGAAAGCTTTACCGGTTAAGAAGGCCTCGAGGGTACTCAACAAAGATTTAACCACTATCGCGCCATTAGTTCAATTCAATTTGCCAAAAAATACAATATATGGGAATTCAAGTGGTTGATGGAAAGAGTACATCAGGTTTGGCATTAAAACATTCGCGGATGTGCGATTCAATCGTTGCACAAGTTCATATTCTCGTTTTCACTCAACTAATCGCCATTAATAACCATACCAATCATGGTATTCATGAACCTGACCTGAACAAAACAGACTGACTAAAACATTGCGAAAGGGATTGTTAAGCTATTGCAGGATTAGTTCTAAAAGCTCTCCATCTAGTTTGTTGTTTGTATCCATTCTTGATAAACAACTTATCGTCCCTTTCAAAAACGCAGGCAAGGTGCGGTGAATAGGAATAAACGGCAACGTTAAAGTTACACAGTAAATGGTTTGAACCCGGGGATCACATGCGAAAGTGTAGCGGGATCGTCCGGGTGAGTGTAGTCCTGAGAAGGACTGTTTTCGGTGGTAGTGACTGACTTTTCGAGAACCTGTGCGGAAGTCATCATCAGACTTTAGCACAGGTTGTCGAAACGTCAGTCACTACCACCGACAACAGTCCTTCTCAGGACTACACTCACCCGGGCGATCACACTACACTTTCACGCGTTAAAATTATACTAAGAAATGTTTTATTTGACAATGTGACCAAATCACAAATGCTCCTACACGAACCAAAGTTAGGGATGGTAGTGGTGGAATTTGTATTTTTGGAGCAGCTGTAATTCACCTGAAAATATTTCCCTCCGATAGGATAATGAGGTCTAGGTAAGGGTTCCCATATATTATCTCCTTATTTGAGCGATCGAGGTATTTTTGTTTTATCGTTGTAAGCAAATACGTTGTATGTCTATTGCGCAGACTCTGAGATAGAAGAATGAGTGAACTCTATTGGGGGTCGATAGTATAAGGCTAAAATAACTAATTGTGGAATAAACAAAGCCAGGACTCATAAAAGTAACTAGAATGAATTATTTCAAATAATTTTCAAAAGCTATTATATTCTTGTTTTCAACGGTAGCGATGACGAGTTGCCAAGTCTAGAAATAAACCTATCATAAATATTCTGCAAATTAAAAAAATATCCTTTGAATCTAAATATCAAAGATGTATTTGATGTGTCATTCTGGGACAAGAAAACTCAACTTTAGAAATTTCTGGCTAAACGACTAGGAGATTCCTCCGTTTTTTCTTGATTTCCTGTTTTACTAATGTTACCAGCTGGTCTTCCGCTGCTCTTTGTGCTTCGTCGCTGTAGTGCACGTGATCTAACGTGCCATTAGGGTATGAAGCAGTCATGGGATACACATCTAGCACAGGAATACCAGCCTTGCACATGGCACTAACGGCATACTTGTAAAACAACTCAAGTCTCTGCAGGAAGAAGCATAAAGAACAACGTCACAACTTAACGGATTTGGATTGTAAGCGTTTGGCAAAGGATTTAAGAATATTGTAAAATCTTCCAATAATTGCAAGAAAGTCAAGTTACGCGGTGTACTTTACGCGGACAGGAAACAGCAATTGGAGTGAAAATTTTTCCGCTTTCGCATCAACCGTTCGTCCAATTGAGGAATCTGATTTCCTTTAGCGTGCAAGGGGGGAAAAAAGGAAAAAACTAAATAAAATCAGAAGGATATTTACGAGTTTGCGTTTTCAGCAACCTAAAGAACGTCATACCTGATGAGTATGAAATCTCCAATGGGTTTTGTTCCTAGGTAGTTCAGCATATATTTTGTGAACCATTTCCTTTTCTATTGAAGTGGTCGTCTTCCAAATTAGAATGGGCATGTTTTGCGCTGTGTTACCTAACTTTCTCCTCAGTAGTCTCACCACGTTGTCTATGAGGCGTCTGTAAGTTGTAAAAGTGAGTGATACGGAGTAATGAACACCAAGATTGAAGAGAAACACACTGTCTTGTGACTTCAGATCCGAAGAGTCGAGAATCTTACTCATATGTTGCAGGATAATTGTCTCGTCAAAGTCGTTCCGCTCAAACTTTGTCTTTGCTTCTTTAACACTTGTCAACTGAAAATTTCATACAAATAACATTCAGAAACCAAAACAACAACCTGGGTGTACTTGGAAGGCAAAGTGAACCCCAATTTTCTTCACTTTTCAATAATAATTCATAGAATTAACAAAAAATGTGACAAGTAGTCAATAACAATTTAAAACCTGGGAACTACTCGCGCGGCCATATCTCCAACGACTTTAAGGGTAAATATATGAAACTCTTAACTCTAAAAGAAACTTAATTAAACTATTAAACGAGTTTGTTTGCAATCAGTGTCATTATTGTCTCAAATAGACCTTAGTCCCTACCTCATATACCCACATGTAGGAATTGGTGCACTTTTTGAAATGTTCTTGACAAATTCCTCTCGATTTAAGTGAATCTAAAAATCGTTGACCAACAGAATCACCATATATCCATAAAGTGTTCGCAGGTGTGACTGGATGTTGTTCTATTGTCGAGTCGTCATCTGGTATTGAAAAAATAAACAAATGAGATAAAGGAAGGTCCATAAGGAAAATTTTCATATTTCAAAACGGAACGTTGGCAAGACCCGGCTGCCAAAATCCGAATAAAAAACAGGAAAGGAAATACAAGTAATAGAGAGTAACGATTTTGTACACGATCTAGATAAAAGTCATCTCCTTTCCATTTGGTAAAGAAGTTATATTCTGTAGGAAAACAAACCTGTTACGTACGGTAACCATTCATTGTTGACCCATCTACCAAATCCATTCTTCACAAAGTTACACGTTATTCCACAACTGGTTGGCAAATTTCCTGTAGAGTCATGGGAGATTGTCAAAAGTAAAAATGTTAGGAAATGTCTGACATTTTTCAAAATTTTTTTATAAGTCGATATTTAGCATTGTTTCCCCTTTCATGGACTTCAAAATAACCTTAAAGTCCAGAAGTAATCAGTTTACTGACACAAGGTACAATTCTGCCGTACTGAATAGCATCTGCAGAGTATAAAATTCAAAGTGATTTCCTTTACTTTTTGCAATGTGTCAACCGCCATCTATCCCATCATAGCAGCCTAGCTGTTTGTGGCAGATCATTTTAGTTTTGGAAGAGCCTCTCACTAATATCACAGAGTTCCCG